ACAATCATTACAAGAGAAGGAACAATCATTATGGATGAGGTGTGGTATATACGGACAGGATTACATACAACGCGTGGATTGGGAGAACATATCTTGACCAGGAATGGAACAAAGGAGCGGTGTGCATACGAGGAGTGGAGTGGGAGATCATATCTCAACCAGGAATGGAATGGAGGAGCGGAAGTATATACGTGGAGAGGAGTGGGAGAACATGTCTCAACCAGGAATGGAACGGAGGAGCGGTGTGTAATAAGGGTACTTTATGTTTTACGTAAGGGTACAGGGTACAGATTGTGGAAAGTGAAGGGAGGAAAAATATTGAGGTGGAGGGAGGAAGGAAGGAGTGAGGAGAGGCTTTGACCCCCAAATCCTGGGTGGAAGGAGATAACAGCAGGTCTGGCAGGCTGGTACTGTCTATGCAGAGTGTTCTGGAAGATGGCTTGGTTACCTGGCGACACATGACATCATGCTGCGCTTGGTTCTGGAAGATGGCTTGATTGCCTGGCGATGCATGACATCATGCTGCGCTTGTGTGCTCCCTTGCATGCATATTATGTGACAAGGTCTGGAGTTAAGTGTTCCTAGCACAGCATGAGCTGCGCTATTTGTTTGGAGGCTGTGCGCAAAGGCTGTGCAGGTGAGATCCCCTGCAGCAATATTCCCTCACAAGGAGTCCCCTGCAGCAGAAATCCCTCACTCTTCAATATAAAAGAAGGACCTCTCCCCACCAGAAAGTCTCTTCTCCCCATCAGCCTACAGAAGTCTCGCAGAGCAGTAAGTTGGTCCTGAGCTACTGGAAGTGTTCCGGAGTGTCAGTAAAGTGAAGAGTTAGAATTAGTGATAGTTAGTTAGTTAGTGAAGTTAGTACATCAGCCTACAGAAGTCTCGCAGAGCAGTAAGTTGATCCTGAGCTACTGGAAGTGTTCCGGAGTGTCAGTAAAGTGAAGAGTTAGAATTAGTGATAGTTAGTTAGTTAGTGAAGTTAGTACATCAGCCTACTGCGGTAAGTTTGATCACCCAAGTTGAAGAATAAGTTAGTAAGTGAGTGAGTTAGTGATAAGTAGTGAATTAGTACAGCATTGTAAGCGTGAAACCAACAAAGAGTTCGGAATTTGAAGCATATTAGTAGTAGTAGTCATCATATAAGTAGTAGTACATTAACAATTAACCAATAACAAGTAGTAGTAGTATTAGTACCGGAGCTCTAGTTTTTGATTAAAGTGCCTTAGCAAGAAATTGTTCGAGGAAGAGATCATTAACAAACTCTATAACAAATCATCTGTTTCGTGCTCAAGTCATCAGCACCACAGTTTCCATTATTAACCTGAAGTTGTAACAGATTCATTAGTAGATTGATACGTGATCTAGGTCTGATAGAGATTACTTTACGAAAGTAAGATCTATCTTGGAATCAGCCATACATTATTAAATATTGATTACAAGACTCTTAGTTATTTGTTTAGTACATTTAGAGGGGCAGGTCTTTCAAACCACCCGTAAGTTGTAATAGCCTTTCAACCTATTTGCAATTTATTTCCCCCTCAAGGGATCTTTTGATATACATATACTTTACCGTGTCTATCCGTCCCAGGAGTCCTACAGCGTGTACCTTATTTTTTTATGTTTTTTTGAAATTTTGAATTTATTTCCTAGGGTTTAACACATGTGGAATTCAATGGTATAATTTAATTTCCATTAAACCCAACCGTTCATGCTGAATACTGTAATTAGCCATAATTTTCAATTGATTTTTAACAGCTTAATTTTCATTCTTTTTTGAAATTTTAAATTTATTTCCCACACTTTAAGACATTTTGAAAATTATGGTAACAATCATTTTTAATAAAAACCAAATATTGTTCTTGAATATTGAATTTGCAGTGTTTTTTTAATTAATTCATACACACTTAATTATCCTTATTTTTTGGAATTTCAAATTCATTTCCTACACTTTGAAAGGTTTGAAAATTGATGGCTGTATCCATTTTGCATTAAAATACAATTTGTATACGGTACAAAGTATGCAAGAAACGGTGTATGCTCACATATTAAGATTGAAGCTTTGAATTTTATGAAAATTGAACTTCACCATCAAATTATCAACATTTTTAAATGTAGGAAATAAATTTAAAATGTCAAAAAATGATCAAAATTAAGCTGGTAAAAACCAATTCAAAAAACATTAAAAAAAACCTGTCCAACGCAGTATTCAATAACAATCTTTGATTTTGATGTAAAATGATTCTTACCATAATTCTTCACATGTATTAAATTGTAGGAAAGATTTTAAAATGTCAAAAAGAATGGAAATTAGCTGTAAAATGTAGTGAAAAATGGGTATGAT